TGAACCCCCCGCGCACTTCACATCGTTCAAAGGCCTACAAAAAGGAGAGAGTGAGCATGGCGAAAATGGAAAATGTAAGAGTAAGGTATAGAAGAACGCACCTTTCGAATCAAAGCAGGATCATTCACGTCCTTCCACGCTTTTACGACCCAGCCTACAGACCGATCACGTAAGGTGCCGATGCGTGTGTCGAGTCTCAAAGCAGAGGGATCCTCAGTGGTGTCGAGCTGACTAAGTGTTTCGTCGACCGTGTCCTGGAGCTGTGAGCGTTTGATTGATAACTTGTACGGCCGCTGAACTCCAACGTCGCATGGTTGTGCGAGACCAGTAGTACCGCCGGGAATATATCGCAGTCGCAACCAGGGCCACCTTCGACGTACAATGTGACGAAACTCCTTGCTGCGATGTACGGACCAGCAGTCGAGGATGGCCACACATTCCTGATCCTCCGCATAGCCCAGCAGCTGCTTCTGATGCATAAAGTATGGCACAATGATGGTCTCCATGTACGTCTCCATGAGGGAAAGGCTCGACCAGTAATTGTTGGGGTTCCAGCTGTAGAGGAACCCAAGGCGCGAAGCTTCGTCTCGGGCGGGGGCGCTCGGGGAGGGAAGAGACCGGTCTGAGCCGCCTTTGAAGATGAGCTGGGAGGGAAGGACATCGCCGGATGCTGAGATGCCGACGACCGATGTGAACGCTCGTTTCTCTTCCTTTCCGTTCACGCCAACCTGCTTCGAACCCTCCTCGGCAAATGTGTGTGCATTGTTGTCAGCGATGACTACCTGCGTCTGATCAAAGTTGACGATAAGAGAAGGGTGCCGGACGCCGGCGTCGCGGACCCAGAGTGCGAGACGGAGGAATAGCTCCCATATCTGCTGCTCAGCGTCGACTGGCGTCTTCTGAGCAGCACGTGTAGAGACTCGAGGAACCCAACGAAGGTGGTTGTAGACGAATTTGCGCACAAAGGTGCATCAGGAAAAACGGGGGCGGCCATATAGGCCTATATAGGCTACAGAGCCTGGATATTCCCATTTCACGCCCCCCCTGTATGTAGCGTCATGTAGCCTCCCGTAGCCTCCTGCCAAGCTACGGTAGCGATACATAGTACAGAGCAAGCTATACCATAGTACCACGTAGCTTTCCTGTATTGGCTCTATGGCCGTTGTATTTTGCGATTGAATGGCGGTTGCTCGTGAATCACCCACAAATTATGAGCGTGAGAGTAGTAACGATCATATTCAATGTAGAGAGATATAATAAACTGGGTATTTAAGAGTCGGCGGCACCGTCAACACCGTTCGCGCCATGTGCAGATGCACCGTCACCCTGCCTACGTTCCACACGGGCGTCAATCTCTCGCTCCGAATCTGACACTATATCACTGCCCTCCTCACTGTCCGTCTCTCCCGTCCTCATAGCGAGCTCCTCCTCGATACGCTTCTGAGCTTCCACTGAGAAACCGGCTCCCGATGACTCGCCCTTGGGCTTGAACGTTGCCTGCTTCCTATATAGATACATCGAGACCACGAGAATGAGCGTCAAAGTTAGAAAGTGTACGAAATGAAAGTGACGTACAGCGCTTTGTCGAACATCTTCTTGCGATAGTTGACACAAAACTCGCTTTCGGGATTGACTCTCTTGGAGGAGGCCTCCCAAGCCTGTAGCTGACTGAGATGTGCAGCGTACCATAGCTGCTGCACATCCTCGTCGAGCTCCGCACTATTCCACTGGCCTGTAGACCATTCCTCAATGCAGAATTGGACCTGACAGTATGCAAGTAAAGTACACGATGAGACTGTCAGTCTTCAATGAATAACCAAAAAAAGTAAACAGACTTACCATGGTGAAAAGAAACGCAAGGAATTCAAGCGTGATTGGCCTAAACATCTTTGGGTAGAGTATACCGGCATCGCGACTCGATCCCAATAGAACGGCAACGATCATTTTGACGATGTGAGGGCTTTCTGCGTAGCCTGATTGATTATCGATATCCTAGGCATCAAAATATCCCGTAGCTCCATCAGATTTTGCGTGAGCGTACGACCTGGAACAACGGAATGAACCTTGTACTGAAAACTCCAGCCGCCCTTCTTCAGATGCTCGTAGATCCTGATGTTCCTCTTGATGTACTTAGGTGGGGACTTGAACTCGAACACCGCAACAACGATGGGACGAAGTGCCTTCATGGCATCACCACGTATGTTTGGGCCGCGGGCCTTGATCTGCGATTGGCCCATGCCGCATATGAATGCGATTGGTTGACAGTGAGTGAGAGAGAGACGAAACGAATGACGTACAACTTTGCAGACACGGAGATCAGACGTATAGTTCGCTTCCCTTTCGCGGCACTCGTCTATCCAGCTATGGCCTGCCCACTTGAAGCGATCAGTGTCGGCTATGTACCCACCAAGGCTGAGCAGCGGCGCCTTGTAACGTTTGACCGCAGCAAGTATGATTGGCTTGACGGTGTCGGGGTAATCGCCCGCCCTCACTTTAGTCGAAGTTGGGCTAATGCCAGGATTCAACGGTGGCGGAATTGCTTTCGCGGTATCTAAGATATCTCAGGCTGATTGAGTGTTCATCAACAGCGTGAGTTTTGATCGTATCTCACCAGTTAGTACCTGCTCCTTCCCGCTGTCAGTCGTCTCTATTGTGGGTGTAAGAACATAGCGGCGGGTAAGCGGAAATTATTCGAAAAGCACAAAAGTTTAGCTGGTACGCACTTCGCTTCTTCTTCTTCCGCGCACCTACATCACACCTACTGGTTAATCAGCGTATACAGGTATTGAAGAAACATGTGTGTGGCGTACCTTCATTGCTCCCGTCATCGTTTCGTCCAGGATCCGCTTGTGCCTCAGCGGCGCCGGTGGTCTGTTTGTGCGATGAGGAAGTCGTTTCTGCACAGAAAAACAGTGAGACTGATAGGTATAGCGGAGCCCGTAGAAAGAAAAAGGAAATATTGACCAGTTTCGTCAACTGCTATGTCCGGTGAACCGTCCGGATAGCTTTCAACGGTCTGTTGCCCTGAATAATATCCGAATGAATGAGTTTGCGTGAGCGGGTGAAAGATATTCAATAAATGTACCTCTACCGTTTGCTTTCTGTACCTCCAATGGGCGGGTACTTGTGGAGCGGTGTCGGCCAATGGCCTGTACTGCTTGAACTGGCCCGTTTCCTGAGACCGACTTGGAGGGCTTGGACCTAGCGACTTCGCGTATATTGAGTCCTTCAGGCCTACCGGTGTCACCCATCACGATAACAGCCTTGGTCTTGCTCTATAAGGAATCAAATTCATCCCAATATGAAGAAGCATGGTACGAGAGAGAGAGACGTACGCTGCCTTTGAACGCTGCCAAGCCCAGATCATCCTCGTCTTGGCTTTCAAGGTCGTTCTCGTCTTCAACAGCACGCGCCACTTGATCAACAACGTCAACAGATCGTACCAAGACGCGTAAAACTTTCGCGACTCACCACTTTTAGCCCCCTTCTTTCCAGTCTTCCTGAGCTTATCAATCTGCTTTTGAAGCGCCGCGATTTTGGCAGCCTCTGTACCACTGTCTGAAGCAACGCTAAGGAATCCCAAGAGACATGAAGACGATAGGAAGACAACTTACTGATGGCATCTTGTTTGCTACTAGGGTTTCGAGTTCGTTTGCTGCGTGGGGCCGGCTCAGGTTCGACGACTTCGTTCTCGTCCGAAGAGGATTGATCCTGGTCATTGTCCGAGTCTGGCTGTTCGTACTCTTCGCCGGAGTCGTTAGCTGCAGCCTTGCGCTTGCCCATAATAGACCCGTGGACGAAGAGGATGCGAAAGAGCAAGTCAAAGACAAGAGAAAAGATAACGAACACGTCGGTGGCGGAATCAACCAAAAATGTCCAAGGGCCAGATGACTCACGTGCAGACCTGTCAACGCCGAACGGCGAACGTGCTCCGAATCGTGTTATCAATAGATGAAATTCATAGGGAAAGGTCCAAGTTTATTTGAACCCTTGCTCGTCATCCATAATCTCGTCGACAATGTGCCCCACAATTGTCTGTCAATACTGCTTTCAGCTGCTCTCGACAACCAGTGGGCTGCGCAGTCACTACCAATGGGAGCCTAGCTGCCGTGAAAAGCACCAAGCCGACATCCTTGCATCACTGTCCGGCCTCAACAACAGTCATAACGATCTCGACGACGACGCAACGAGTGACAGCTCGAGCTCGGATTCAAGTTCTGATTCATCCGATATCGAAGGAGCTACGCATCCATCACGCCCACATTCTCCCGATTTCGACCGTCCAACGGATGATCATGGGGAACCTTCTGACGCTGCTGAGGCCACTCCCGACGAGAGACCGTCTAAACGACAGCGTGTTACGGTGGAAGAGGTGGAGGACGAGGATGATTTTCGAGAGATCCGTCGACGACGTTGGGTTCAGGACTATCCGTTGAAGGCTGGGTCGGTGATTGAGGAGAATCTGGCGTACACAAAGTACGAGGCGTTCCGCGATGAGCAGAAGAAGGCGGGGAAGGCTCCGTGGGATCCTTGGGCAGATCTGGACGATTGGGAGTTGGCGAGGTGGATGATGGATGCTGCGGTCAGCCAGACAAAATTGGACGAGTTTTTGAAGCTGGGAAAGGTACGTACGGCACATCCGACTCTCTTATGTTGAATATCCCAGTCTGAATGTAACAACCAGATTTCGAAGGGTGCCACACCTTCGTACCACAACAAACGGTCATTCTTCAAGAAGATCGATTCTTTGCCAAAGGGACCAACATGGGAGTGCGAGATTGAGGAGCTGACAGGTGACTTGGTCGACGCGAAAGGCGAGCCTATGACGGAGGCGCTAGAGTTGTGGAAGAGGAATCCGGTGGAGCTGGTCAGGGAGCTCATCGGGAACCCGGCGTTCAAAGAGTCATTGCGCTACGCACCGGAACGTATCCTCGAGAAGCTGAAGGGGAAAGTCTCGCGGCGGTATTCAGAGATGTGGACTGCCGACTGGTGGTGGGAGACACAAGTACGTCAGCATTTGTTGATCCTTGGTAGTATTACCCGCCAAACCTTTTCATAATGTTCGCTTATACGAGATCCTCCGGATCGTATAGGACTTGTTGTCTCAGAGTGGCGCCGAAGGTGCCACCATCGCGCCTGTGATCATCGCTTCCGACAAAACTCAGCTGTCAACATTCAGTGGGGATAAATCAGCATGGCCGGTGTATCTTACCATTGGTAATAACGAGAAGGAGGTGCGCCGAAAACCTAGTCAGCGTGCCACTCTCCTTCTTGGGTACATCCCAGTCTCGAAGTTGGAATGCTTTTCGAAGCCTCGACGGTCAATCGAAGCAAACCGACTATTCCACAGCTGCATGCGTAAGCTTCTACAGCCTCTGGTGGATGCAGGAAACGAGGGTGTCAGGATGGTCTGCGCTGACGGGGGCGTACGCGTTGTATACCCGTTAGTTGCCGCCTACATCGCCGACCATCCAGAGCAGTGCCTAGTAGCATGTGTCAAGGAAAGCAAATGCCCTCGCTGCACAGTCGCCACGAACGAACGCGGATCTCCAGTATACTCCGTTCTACGAGACCCAGACGAGACGATCGCCCTCCTCCAGCAAGAGGCTGCCGGGATCAAAACCGACGCTTTTCGAGATCTTGGCCTCAAACCCATCATCCCCTTCTGGATAGACTTACCATACTGCGATATTTTCTCCTGTATTACACCCGACATTCTCCACCAGTTGCACAAGGGGGTCTTCAAAGACCACCTCGTCAGTTGGACGACAAAAGCTATGAGCCTAGTCGTGGGTAAAGGCAAAGGTGCGGACGAACTAGACGCGCGCTACAAGTCAGTCCCTGATCATGCCTCGCTTCGCCACTTCCGTCGAGGCATCTCGCTCGTGTCGCAATGGACTGGCCATGAGTACAAGGACATGCAGAAGGTCTTCCTCGGCATTCTCGCAGGGTCTGTCGATGAGAACGTCATTCGCGCAGTCCGTTCAGTGCTCGACTTTATTCAGTATGCACACTTCGAGGAGCACTCTGACGAATCACTCGACGAAATGGACGCATCATGGCTCGACTTCCATCGCTATAAGAAGATCTTTATCGAACTCGGAATCCGCGATGCCTTTAACATTGCGAAGGTCCATTCGATGCGCCACTACATCGACTCTATCCGCTCACGCGGTTCTGCCGATGGTTTCAACACCGAAGGCACCGAACGCTTGCACATCGACCTCGCAAAGCTTGGCTACCGCGCTTCCAATAGAAAGCAATACCTTCGACAGATGACGCGGTGGTTAGAGCGCCAGGAGTCGGTGCATTGGTATGCTTCATACCTTCAGTGGGCTGTTCCAGGATACGTTGCAGAGATAGGTAGGATACCGGATGATGACGAAGAGGACGGCGAGCAGGATGACGAGGAGGTTATCGATCAGGCTGAGGAGGTGGACGAGGAGGGAGATGATGCACCGGAGGTTGAACGAGCGCCACAGCTAAGTTCCATGCCTGCTCTGTCCGACGCTTCGTACAGTGTCCCTTCGCTACCTGTGAAGATTGCCAAGAAGGCTTCTCTCCGAGTGAGTGTGGCAGATATGGAGTCTCGTTACGGTGCTGTCAATTTCCTATGGACTCTTTCCGACTTCCTTCGCCAGTCTGCTCTTGCCCCTCTCCCAGCTGTCGTTACTCAGCGTACATCTTTCCCTGTCTTCAAACGTTTCTACCTTCAACTCCCCCTCGTTGACGCTGTCTCGAGCACCCGCACGAAGGATACCATTCGTGCTACCCCACACCAACCTCGTTCTGGTCTTCGCGCTGCGGTACCCGCTCGATACGACACTGTTCTCATCCGTGAGAAGACCCCATCGTCATCTCTTCCACAGGGGCACCCTCTCTACGGTACGCACATCACCTTGCAGACTCATGGCCTAGCATCTTACACAATTTTTGGGCTATTTTATAGGTCTACGTGTCGGACAAGTTCGGGTTATCTTTCGCTTGCCGGACGGAGTTGACTGCTTCACGCAGACACTTGCCTATGTTCAATGGTTTACGCCGTTCCGCGATGCTGACTCCCTCTATGGCATGCACACCATCAAGCGTTCAACACGCAATCACTCTCGTTACGCTTCCATTATTCCCCTTTCTGATATCGTACGCAGTTGTCTCTTGCTTCCTATTCCGCCCACGCATACCCTACCCAGTACTTGGACATCTGACAATGTTCTTGATGAATGTACAGCGTTTAGGCTCAATCCATACTTACGCCACGATGATTTTTATGTCTTACGGTTTATCTCTAGTCTTTTCCGAAAGGATCATAGGCCTCCTTGATACACTTTTCCGAATGATATCCCTTATTTTTGTGCCTTGCTGTATCATCAAGTAGTAGGGTTTAATTATCAGAGCTTAGTGGAGCTTCTGGAGGACTGTCGAGGATTGTAAGCTATGACATATGTAAGAGCACCGAGGAGCGATGGCCAGCCTTGGCCAGCGGGGCCACGCTGACGCCACATCCAAATTAACCCACCGGTGGGCTAATTTGCCAGTGGTACTACTTCGCCACTCATTTCACTGCGTTCTCGCATGTTTGTGTCTCGCAAACAGACACGACCTCACTTGACGACTATAGGGTGCTACATAGGCCACAGAATCCCGGTGTGGGCTACGGAGAGCCACAGCAGCTACATAGACTTAGCTGGCTGCTATGTGGCGAGACCGGTTTTCCTGATGTGTTGGAGCAGCGGAAAGTACTGCCATCGCGAGAGACAGTGGTGCGAAGAAGCTGTGGTGTGTGGTGAGTGATTAAGGCTAGCATGATGGCACGGCAAGTAGTGGTGTCCAAAGGGATTCCCGCCGCGCGAAGGAATTTGAGTTGCGCCACAATGATGTCCACAAGCTCGGGAAACAAGGACTGTAACGCGTATTTTTGGATGAGCGAAAGTAAGGAAAACGGAGTCCCGAGGGAATGACATACCAAAATACCACTACGTGTAGTATGTCCGAGAGGCTTGTTCCCGAGTCTGACACGAGCAAGGACCTTCTCTTTCCACCGAGCGGGAGCATTCTTGGGCCGTTCGATCCATCGTCCGATGACCTGGGCCGTGAGCCGGGAGAACTGTGCAGGATTGCGAGACCGAAGAAGGCTGACGATTTCAGTTGGAGACATCGACGGGCCAACCTCGCGTGCCGCTGTGCTGATTTGTTGGAAGATGGCCGGGTTGATCCAGTTGTAGCGCGTGGCACTCGATGGTGGGTTTTTGCGTTTCCGTCCTCGCTTATCACGACTCTGGCGAGCGAGCTCCTTGAAGAGTCGGAAAGGTCGTGTGTCGTCAGGTGTGATAGGAATTGTGGTGGGGTTGTTGCCTTCGACCTGGACAAGAGCCTGTGTGTTTCCTGGATCAGAGGCTGCAGCCTGTAGAGCCTCCTGGAAACGATGGTTAGTGACAAAACACCAAACTCGAAGTAAAACAGACAAGTACCTTCTTGGCCTTCTTGCGCTGTCGATACCTCCGCTTCTTCTCCCTCTCCCGCTGCCTACTATGTTTCTTCTTAACCAGCTTGCTAACCTTCTCCCTCCGACTTGCCATCTCCCGTTCA